GGAAAATGTGACGACACAAAGGGGGTGGGTGAGTCAAAACCGTGACTAACTGTGACGATGCAGGATGGGTGTCGAAAAATTCTCCAAAATAGCGCGACGTTATTTGTGAACGGCCCCTAAATGCAAAACGCCGGCAAGTATGCTGGCATCTACGCGTGAACACCGACGATATCGGACAGATGCGATCTCGGAAATTTTCGAAACAGTTTCGTGTCCTGAAATCGATCTTGAAATTCGCACATTTTCCTTCCTGCGAACCACCCTCGCTCACTCTAGCCTGGACTTACCCCCCGTCGCACACGTGCTGTTGCGCCGCCCACCCCGTCTTCACCTCCGCGACGGCCGTGTGGTTGGCGTTGGCTCGCGCGCCGGGAGCCCCGGCCAGCGCCGCCGTCAAAAAGATGGACAGATGCAGCAGCAGCCTCAGAGTGGGCTTGGGGGCGGACGGGGTGGCCGCCCGTCCCCGTGTGGAGTCTCCCCCCCCCCTCCTCCAGCGGACCAAGCGCTGAGGCTTGTAAGCATTGCGAGCTGATCGTGACCTGCCCCCAACATTTTGCGCCCTGGCCAGGCGGTCAAGTGACGAATTAGGTTACAACTGCAGTTCGTGACGAACAGACAACCAAGTGCATGCTGGAAGTCACAGACTGGAAAAAAACAAAATCGGAGGAAGTGGAGTACTTGCGATGCGCATTGGCCCGCAATTACTTTCCCGCCGACGCCGTGACATGTACCATACCACTGTAATCACGGTGTCCTCTGCGCTATCGAGCGTATCGGACTTTTAGATCCGTCGTGTTTTTCCAGGACCAGGCTTGGACAAGATGGGCAAAAGTCTTTCTTTGTTCCCGTGCAGCTATACATTCCGTGCGGACGGGCGGCGGCAAATCTTCCCAGTCCCAATCGCAATGATTGCGCTCACAACGACGCGGCGAGACGCGCAACGGGGACCAGCCGAATATCGCTTGTTTCTCGTCGTCCGCGCAATTTTCGCAAAAAACAATTTTTTTAAAAAATTGGTAAAATTTGTGTTTTATTGCTCTATTGAAGGCGCGATTTTGGTCGAATCTCTCGTATTGTGATATTTCTTACTCCTGTCATAAACGATGGTAAATGACCCAGATGTCGCTTCTGATTAGCCAATTGGATCAACGGTCTTGCCTTGCCGAGGCTCTTACTCGCATTGCGGGCGAGGAACCGGCGGCGGATACGAAGTGTGAGATTTGGGCAGAGCAAGGCAAAGCGGAGGGCAAGAGGAAGCCTCTGTCTCAATTGTGGTATAGCAACCTTCGCTTCGAGGGAATGCTGCAACATTCACGGCCGTTCAGGCGTTCACGACTCGGGTAAAAAAAAGAAGAGGGGCGGGAGGGGAGGGGGGGGGGTACGGAGGTGAGATTGATTCCTACCCCCCCCCCCCTTCCCAAATAACGGCAGAGGAGGGAAGCGAGTAGACAATTTTTGTAGTGCATTTAGCGCGCGTGACCATGCATAGTGCGCAGTGCACCTGTTTTCAGCCCATAAACACGATGATTCATGTGTTCAGCACCGTTTCTCAGAGAGGGGAGGGGGATTCGGACACTGTCCTGTGTCCTGTCCACTAATGCATCAAGGATAAACAGAAACCGACGAGAAAATACAGATGCTTTTGTTAATTTATGTTACGTTGTTAGCTCAACATTTGTGTGTACCGGGTGTCTCGGCTCTTACATGCCAGTATGGCGGGTTGCGTACGTGCTGGCTCGCAGGTGCTGTCGGGTACGCGCAGGATTTCGCGCATCCCCCGTGGTTCCACAGGGGAAACCCGCGGTTCCGTGGGGATGTGCGAAATTCTGCGCGCTCCCGACAGCGCATGCGAGCCGGTGCCCATGCAACCCACCATACTGGCATGTAAGAGCCGAGACGCCCAGTATGTGTGAGGTATGTATGGTGTAAGGTTCCAGGTCCCTTAATAGTCCGATTGGCTTGAGGTTCGAATTTCATCAAAGTTGTCGGCACAATAGGCGTCGATTTCTTTAATGAAGGAAATGTGCCCGGCTAAACCGATAAGATTGGCTTGTCCCTATGCCAATTTGCACTAAAGCTAATGAAAATTGAATTGCCCCGTGAACGGTCGAGAAAACGCTTTCCTGGGTGCCGATGATGTTTGTTCAAAAGTTCATGCGGTACAGTATAACTACGAAAGTGCGCGGCGTGAGTCTGCCACCAGGTCTACTCAATATAGAAACGTGCACTTGTCGAACTGTAAAATGAACAGGTACGTAGTTAGGTGGGCAGTGACGACGCAGATCCGGACCTCCCCTAAAAGTTGCTGCCCAGTTCGCTAGTAACTAGGCAAAAAGTGCGACATGGCCTCCCCTAAATTAGAGCCCCACTACGCGCCTAAGGGGCACTTCACAAATTACGTCACACTTTTTAGGGGGAGTGGGGTAGACGAATTTGTGAACAATTGTGACCACAGGGGTAGGGGGTCGAGATGTGACGTCACACAGTTACTCACTGTGCGCGGAAAACAATAACTATTTTCAAAAGTTGCGCGCCATTCGGTGAGTCAATTGGAAAATGTGACGACACAAAGGGGGTGGGTGAGTCAAAATCGTGACTAACTGTGACAATGCAGGATGGGTGTCGAAAAATTCTCCAAAATAGCGCGACGGAATTTGTGAACGGCCCCTAAATGCAAAACGCCGGCAAGTATGCTGGCATCTACGCGTGAACACCGACGATATCGGACAGATGCGATCTCGGAAATTTTCGAAACAGTTTCGTGTCCTGAAATCGATCTTGAAATTCGCACATTTTCCTTCCTGCGAACCACCCTCGCTCACTCTAGCCTGGACTTACCCCCCGTCGCACACGTGCTGTTGCGCCGCCCACCCCGTCTTCACCTCCGCGACGGCCGTGTGGTTGGCGTTGGCTCGCGCGCCGGGAGCCCCGGCCAGCGCCGCCGTCAAAAAGATGGACAGATGCAGCAGCAGCCTCAGAGTGGGCTTGGGGGCGGACGGGGTGGCCGCCCGTCCCCGTGTGGAGTCTCCGTTGTTGGCGATCCTCATCCTGCTGGTAATCGTGGGAGACCGCGGTCGCGGCATGTGGAGGGTCCGGCGTCTGTCCACCGACTGTGGACGCCGAGCCGGCATTTGGCTTTGGGTGCGCAGCGGCTCCTCGCCGAGGCTCTCGCGCCGCGTGCGCTGCTCGGACAGGACAGGGGCTGTCTCCTAGCGAGTACCTTGGGCCCGCGTTGGGGCTCACACCGCGGCGATCACGAACAGCACAGCGAGAGCCGCCGCCTCCAGCCACCGCCTCCAGCCACCGCCTCCAGCCGCCAGTCTCCGCGCGGCGGCGCTTTGGGAGGAGGAGGGAAGGCCCGCGAGCGGCGACATCCCCAGCCTCAGCTCCAGCGCTGCCCCCCCCCCCCCCACCCACTACTCCCCCTTCCTCGGCCCCGCCTGGCTGTGTGTAATTTGATTGATACTCGGCAAATGTGATGAACACGTGCCTAAAAAAAAGTCGTTTAACACATTCCTTGTGGTGAGACCACTATGTGGTCCCACTCCCATGTTAAATCATAGGCACCAATGATGGGCCGTAAGGTACGTGTTTAATTCCATGGGACCAAGCTAGATTGTCACGGTAAAAAGAATGTCTTGAAATCCGAGGAAATGTCTTGGATTTCAAGGTCGGGTGGATAATTTCAAGAGTGGCCCTTGAAATTCCAGACTCTTGTCTTGAAACCCGTACCTTCCAAGGCAAATCCTTGGAATTTTCGTCTGGTATTCAAGGGTTTTCCTTGAAGTACCCAGATCGTGCTTCAATTTGAAAACAGACATATTCTTAAATTTGTATCATCTGCTTTCAAGATAGATTCCTGATTTAGATTTTTTGAACCGCGTCTAAAAAGCGCATATTTTGGGCGCATACACGCATTTTAGGCGCGTTTTAGATGAGACATAAAATGCAGATTTAATGCAGTTCTGCTAACTGGGGATCTATAGATCAGATCTACTACAATAACAAAAAACAAATAATAAATACACAAGCCCTTCCGCTAAACGGACTGGCCAGCCCCGCCCCCCGCCCCGCCGGCGTTTGACATTACAAAAGTTACTGCATGCCTTTGTACCAAACGCAGATTCCGGGCGGCCCTACGGCCTGCTAAGATTTGGGTCGTAGTGGTAGTCACAAGTATTTTAGCTCCCTGGCTGCCCTGCCCAGGACCGCACCGGATGTCCGGGAGAATACGCGGCAGCACGATGGGTTGCCTACGCACTGGCGTGCAGGCGCGGAAGGCAAGGGGGGAGCGGAGCGGTGGAGGTGGCTGGAGGCAACCGGCCGCCTTTGGCATGATAAAAGTCATTCGTTCTTAATCACAAATTGAAACGCAAAGACAAATAATGCAAAATTTTGCCAATTTGCTAATAAACCTCTAGCTCCGAAACTGACCCCTATTTTTTAAAAAAATAATAATAATAAAAAAAAAAGCGCTTTATTTCACCCCTATCGGAACGCTTGGAACGGTTGCCAGGTTTTGCAACAAGCGTCTCGTCCGGGAGTGGCAGTGACCTCCAGCTCCAGCCTCTAGCTCACGTCCCTCATGTCCTTCTAGAGGAACGGACAAACAGGCAGACAGGCACCTGCCCCGCTGAGTAGCTTTTCAAAGTAGATCTTGAAGAGCGGCCTTATTAAAAATAATAACGAAATGGCGTTGTTTTTTGACATTAACGTGACTCCTAAGGATCGTAAATATCCGGCATCCAGCCAGTCTTTACCGGGACAGATGTGCACTTTGAGAGGTCATCGACCACATACACTTTGTTTGGAAAGATGTGAGCACAAACTTTCTCATACTGCATCGAATCACATTTAAATGCCTTGTGCTTGTCTTGTGTTGTTGTGTGTGGATTTTCCTGCCGTAAGGTTATTGTGCTAGTTTCAAATATGATTGAAAAAATATGTTTTCGATTACTTTTGAAATACTGGGTGAAACTTAATTTTATTTGTAACATCCGATGCAATCTCACTCACTAGTGCCCATTTGGCATCGCTGCCCGATGCCTAGAGAAGAGGAAGTTAAGAAGAAGGGTAAATATGGCGACGGTGTAAGAATTGTACGTCTCCCCATTTCGTGTATTTATGGTGCATCGGAAAGAACTCATCGCTATGGGTGCTTGAAAGTTATGGATATCTGAACTATTTGGTGCGTACTTTGATATCAAACAAATCTTGGGCATTTTACTTTACAGTACTCGTCAAAATTATGTATTTAGGTCTCACTCGTTCAGGTTTTCTCCCCCTCCCCCCGTCTTTCACATAACTATCTAGTTATTCAGAAGTTTTTATAGTTATTCGTCATTTTGCTGCACAGCATTGCCCTATCATTAATCTTGATCTTCGTCTTTCTTTTGCCTTTTCACTTTATTTTCCAAAGATCTACAATTACATTGTCTTCTACCTTGACCGAATTCCTAACTTGATGCTGACAGGAGCATTGAAAATATTTTAGAAATCAATGGAATTAGACAGTTAATTATTACTATATTGTTAGATATTTTAACTTTTGTTTTTT